TCCTCTAGACACTGCACAGGTGTTAGTCTTGAGTTTCCCTTCTTCATCATCACAAGAGTCTCTTATGCTTCTCTCCTGGGCTGAATCCCTAATTTATTGGGTTCTAACCCTTCCATTTGCTTGGTTTGTTCCCGTCTTGGCGAGCACATCTTTCGATTGCTTCCTGAAACAGGCTGCCTTGGAGGTAAAACTTTCAAATGTCTGCATGCCTGTCCTCCTTTTTACCCTTACATCTCAGGGGCAGTCAGCACAAGTAGAACTGTAGCTCTTCCAACCTCGGAACCAGATCATCTCTCTGTAATCTGACTTCCTGCTATTGGCAGTCAGATGTCCTTCTGATTCTTAATTCTCCTCTCTGCAGGATTTTGGGGTCTCTCCCCCTGGACCTGTAGCTCAGGAATCTCATCCGCATTGCCTTGGTGTGGTTCTCACTGTTCCTGTTGGACCCGCATGAATCCTTTCAATCTGAAGACTCACAGCCTTCAGCTGGGGCTACCCTGGCTTGCTCATTTGATCATTTATCTTTTCAGAATTCTCATCATGTCCTGTTTTTTGGATCTTAGGCTGCTAAGATTTATCCTTTAAAAAAAATATATTTCTAACCCTCTTCTCTCCTGTGTTCTGTTCTAGGAGATTCCTCCCATTTTGTCTCTTCTCTTTTCCGCGGTGCCTGCGTGTCGGTTCCCACACTGGTAAGACTCACGAGCTCCTCGGGTTCCCTGGATGCCCTCTCTCATGGTGTCCTGCTCTTACTGCCCGGGGGCAACGTTTCCTCTCTCTGAGGCTCAGAATCCTAGATTTCATTTTTTTTAGTGGTTGCTGCCTTGCATCTCTTTTTTGAGTTCTCTTTTTGGCTTTCACCGCCCTCTTTTGTGTCAAGAGATGTTCCTCTGAAGGCTGGTGATCATCATCGCATGAGAAAGTTGAACAAGAGCTCCGTGGGAAAGAGCTGGGCAACCATCAGGCACCGAGGCAGTGACCAGCCCAAACGACACTGGGAAGTAAACGACAGGGGACCTGGAACTTGAGCCTCAGCAGGAGATGGGTCTCCTGACTCCAAACTCCTGCTTCCATTTTTTTTTTTTTTTAAATGTGTATCTCTGAGACCTGGGGACACGTCATGGTTGCTCCATGTGTCCATGTGTGGGCCGAGTCAATGTGACCAAATCCCACCTTAGAGTCACTAGATGAAAATAAGACAGAAGAAAATCAACCCATCTTATTAAAGAAATTCTTTGTGCCTCTTCTATGTCTGGTCCCACGCTGGGTGCTGGGGCTGGAGGGACAGAATGCCCCTTGCTACTGAGGACAGAAGGAACAAGTGGAAGAAGGGGAAGAAAAAGAACAGATGTTGCTGAGCCAGACCCAAGCGGGACCCCTCCACCAGCCCTGCACCCCAGGGGTCAGCTTGCAGGGTCTTCAGGTCAGTCCCCCACATCTCTCTCGTGGTCCTGGCCACCTCCCCCAAAAGGGCTCTGGGCACGTGTGTGGAGGAGGGTAGCTTCTCCATGACCCTGAGCCAGCCATCCACCCTCTCCTCTGCCTGGGGGGCCTGCGTTGTGCAGACAGAGGGTCTTGACATGGGCAGGACCGTGCCTGGCTCCTGGACTGCCCCGTGGGACCTCAGCTCCTGAAGGACTCTGAGCCTCAGGGCCGCATCTCTAACGTGCCGACTACAGTCACCACGCAACCGCAGCACCTAAAAATGACAGTGGGCGGGAATGTGCCTTATAAACCCATCAACACCAACACACACCCAATGCCCATCCAGTGCGCTCTCATATTCCCGGGACTGCACTCCACTAGTGCCCCAGCCTCTGTCACTTTTAGTGCTTGTCTCTGTTGCCAGGGTGAAAGTTGTCTGTGGACGGTCCTCATATACTCCACTTGCTGTGGAATTTGGTTCCCAGCTGTGCCTGACACAGAGGTGCTTAATGAATACCGGGTAAATGAATATACTCATCTCATTGGTAACATGAGATTGCGTGAGATAGAATCAACAAGATTTCTGTCTTATGGATTGAGCACTGTTTGCTAAATTTCATCTTCTAGTACATCTGTGGGACCCTTCACCAGGTCTCTCTCTCTTATCCATGGCTCGTTCATGCCCAGGCCTGCCCAAGGTTCAACTCCCTGGGCCAGGGGCCCTCTTGACCCCAGATTCAGGCTGTGGTATAGTCCAGTGCTGGTCTCAGTGGCAGACTGGAGCCATTGAAGGCTGAGGCTGTGTGCAAACATCCTGATTCACAAGAAAAGGATGTCAGGAATCTGAAAAAATGTTTGGCTGGAGCCCCGCCCTAACCTCTCTTAAGGATTTCTTTTCGTTTTTCCTTCTCCCTCCAACATCCCCTGCTTTTTTTTTTTTTTTTTTTTTTTTTTTTTGTGCAGATTATCTGAGAACTGCTTGGCACTTGGGAATTTTCCATTGGCGCAAGCTGAACCTACTGGTGCCAAGAAAGGAGAGAAGAAACTCAGACAAAATGGGCCCCACTCTCCTGCCAATCTCAATTTGGGAGACTTTTTCCATCCTTGGGGCCATTTGTGAGAAATTAAGCTCCGAGGCCTTCTAGGGAAAATCTTTGGGCTTTTTATTCTCCAGTGTGGAAATTCTGCACATTTGAATATTAAGTGGTGACTTGAGAAGGGTACAGGGTAGCAAGGCCAAAAACGTTGTGTGCACTTATTTATTTGTTTTTCTTTTGTCCTAGGGAGGCAGCGTGGGTTCTGCAGTCTGAAAAGGCTTAGTCAGACTGTAGCTTTGCAACCAGGTTTGTGGACTGCAGAATCCCCTCATCTCCAGAGCCTCTGTTGCCTACCCTGTAGAAAACCCAGAGTGCCTGCTTCAATGCACCATTGTGAGGGTGACTGCGAGTCCCAGGAACGTGCTGTGTGGCCTTTCTGGTCTGCATGTGTCTCTTATCAAGAAGGATTTAGCAGACTCTCTAGGCTCACCTGCTCATCACCTCTACTGGGTTTTTTCCAGTGTGTCCTGAGCCCTGGGGGTGGGACAAGCTGCCTGCCCAGTGCTCACTGTGCCATACTTCCTCGCGAGGGTGCTGGGTAAGAGTCAGCGGCCAGGGTGGTGTAGCCCACAGGATGATGCTTCAGTTGCTCTCCACATTTCTTTCCTTTTTGAAATCCATTGGCCTTTAGGTGAAAAAAAAATCTTGATAGAAACTTCGAGTCATTAATCACAGTGCTACAGGATATTAAAGGGAAGCCACTGTAAAGAGGCTGGAAACCCCTGGGAGATCCGAGCAGGCCGCCAACCTGCCCTTCAAACAAGTTGACCTCACAGCTGTGCTGGGGGAGTGGGGTGGGGGGTGGGTAGGGGTGGCAGGTGCAGTGGGTGTCTGTCTCCAGGTCGCCTCTGCAGTCAGAGCGATTCTGCTCTGGCCCAAATTTGCAGCTTCCCTGCAGCCATGAGCTGAGCTGCTGCTTAGACCAACCACCGGCCGGTCTCCCAGTCGGCCTTCAGGGTTCTTATCCTTCAACCACGGGGCCCTCTCAGAATTCTTTCAGCCACGCTGCCCTCCACAGAGTTTTTGTGATTATTTCTTCTTCCTGTCCCAGGGATGATTTGTCCCTCTCCCAGGCTGGCTTCCAGGGCCGCCCAGCACCTGGTTCTTACTCTAGTTGTCCAGGGTGTCCAAGGGGGGCACCTGCTCCTTTCAGCCTCCCTGAGAGGTGGATCATGCTAGCAGCAGCCAGCAGCTTGAGGTCCATGCAGCGGAGCGTGCCGGGGCCCTGTGGGTCCCACCCCATCCCTCTTGAACTTTAAGAGTTTCTTTCGGATGAGGAAACTGGCTGTTTACCACCACTTACAAACACACACACCGCAGGCCTGGCTCGCGGAAGGCGTTTCCCCGAGGCAGGAGGTGAGTGTCTGTAAGAGTGGGCTCTAGAGCCACACTGTTTCAAATGTGCCCACCCCCTGTGTGGGGCTCTGTGCCCTCTGCACTGTGCTCCAGTACTCCCTGTTCCGAGGACTAAGTGGAATGGTACTTTCAAAATGCTGGCACCCAGTGTGGCATGTCGTGGTGCAGAATGGTGGCCCCCGAGAGGACATCTATACCCTACTCCAAGGATGCACTAGGCTTCATGACAGAGGGAAACCATGGTGTCATCCGGTGGCGGCGGGGGGGATTTGGCTACCCACCCACTACCTTGGAGACATGGAGTGCTGAGGGCCATTGCCAAGTAGGAATGATGCATTGAAATCCTTGCCAGCGTACCCCATGTTAAATGGACTTGCCTTGGAAATTTGCTGCGACCTTGCATGCGTGTTTGAGAAAGGTGACCCTGCTCAATCACCAGGGTGGATCCAGGATTAGGGTGTATCCTGCAGGTTTGAGGAAGTATCCCCGTCCTTGGGTTTAGGGTGTGCCCGGTTTAAGACAATAGGAGTTTTAGGGAAGTTGGAGGTTGAAGATTATTGCTGCTGGGAGTAGGGCGTGCCTGCTGCCTGAGTTCCCGCTGAGTTCTCGTGGAGAGAAAGTATTTAGGGCTTGAATTGTGCGGGAAATTAAAAATTTCCCCTGAGCGTGTGTGTGGAGGCTGGTGTGAGATCGGGAATAAAGAATTGCTGTTTGAACCTACAAAGCTGTGTGGTGGCTCGTGATCTTGCGCCAAGCCGAGACATTGACATTGCGTCACTGGTGACACCATCAGCAAAGGAGATTGTCGTGAATTATCTTGGTGGCCCATTGCAAACAGGAGGAGATGAGGAAGGCAGAAGAGGGCTCTGGAGATGGCAGCATGTCAAGCTTTTGGTCCAAAGTTACTGCTGAGCATGGTGGAGGATCAGGAGTCCCGGAGCAGGGGACCCTGAAGAAGCCGGAGAAGACAGCAAAGCAGAAAGGAAGGGCGCCCTGCTGGCCCCGGGAGGCTAGCCCGGCCAGATCCCTGCTGGACTCTGACCTGCACAGCTATGAGGACATCTCTTCTGTCGATCTGGACTACTAAGTTTGCGGTGTGTCACAGGAACAATAGAAAACCAGTCAACAGAGCAGGGCTGAAGACAGCACCGGGCCTGTTCCTCTTGCAGTTCAGAGGTTCCTCCGCTCGGCCCCTAGAGGGCAGAAGCGCCAATGCACGGCGATCAGAGCCATGCCAAGCACACCTAGGCTTCTAGAACAGATGAAGATCTGGTTGCTACGGCAACATGGGTTGCATTCCTGATGGATGGTCGTGTGACAGGCTGAATAATGGCCCCCACAGACGCGCACATCCGAGTCCCCAGAATCTGTGAAGATGTTACCTTAGTTGCAAAGGGAATCTGCACAGGTGATTAAGATAGAGGACCTGAGAAAGTGTGATGGCTAATTTTGTGTGTTGATTTGACTGCAGTACCCAGATAGCTGATCAAACAGTTCTCTCTCTCTCTCTCTCTCTCTCTCTCTCTCTCTGTATGTGTGTGTGTGTGTTTCTAGGAGAGAATAGCAGTGGAATCAGACTGAGCCAAGAAGCTCTGCCCTCACTGATGTGGCTGGGCATCTTCTAACCCATTGAGCTGGAGGAAGGGCACACTTGCTTCTGCTCCAGAGAGGACATTGTCTTCTGCTGGGTGTCAGAGCCTCAGGCCTTTGGACTCCAGGACTTACAGCAAGATGACTCCTTCCCAGCCCCTAGCCTTTGGCATGGGACTGGAAGTTACACCATCAGCTCCTCTGGTTCTCAGGCTTTGGGACACAGACTGAAGTACACCAGGGGCTTTTCTGGGTCTTCAGCTTGTAGATGGCATATTCTGGGTCTTAGCCCCCATAATCACATGAGCTAAGTCCCATAATAAAATCCTTGTTTTATACCTGTGTATATCCTCGTTGTTCTGTTTCTCTGGAGAGCCTGACTGACAGGGATGGTCTCCCACTTAGGATGGTTTGACTTTTAGTGTTTTGTCTTATAAAGATGCAAAAGTTCATATGCATTTAGTAGAGACTATACCTGGAATTTTGAATTTCGATCTTCCCAGGTTAATGACATACAGGACTATGATTTCCTCCTCCTCCTCCTCCTCCTCCTCCTCCTCCTCCTCTCTCTCTCTCTCTCTCTCTCTCTCTCAGAGTGGCAGTGAGCTGTAGTTCCCCACATGCCTCAGTCTGGCTGGACACAATTCAGGAGCCACTTGTCCAGCAGAAACGAACTTTATTTTTAGAACACACACCCTGCACCACAGGAGCGCTTCAGGAATTCCCTCAGAGCCCAAGTGCCACCACAGGCTTCCCACAAGCCTCTCAACGGCCCCCCCCTTGAGGCCAATTGGCTGGGTCATGTGGGCGGAGCCAAAAGAGTCCCCCAATGAGCAGCTCCGTGGTCTGAAAGGGCGGGGAAACAGCCCAATGAGCATCACCGCAGAGGAGCCAATCAGCTGGCAGCTAGAAGTTTGCTGGGGCCATGGTGAGCCAATCAGTTGGAAGTTTGCTGGGGCCACTTGGGCTGTGGCTCTCAACACCCACAAGCACTGTTCTCTGCAGTGTGCAGCTCTGCTAAGTCGTGATGGTATGTTAAGTGGATTTGGTGCGTTTTCAGTTTATACTATTTTCAATTTACCATGATCTGTGGGGACATAAGGGCTCTTAGGTCCAGGAGCCTTTATACAGATAGTGTTAGTTTTTGTTACTTTGTAACAACATTTCCACAAGTTTAACATCTTAAAACAATACACCTTAGCCATCCCAGATTTTCTCACATTAGAGGGAGGCAGAGAGGCCGAGGCAGAAAAGTGAAGCAGTGATGGAGGTGGAATTTGGAGTCCCTGCTGGCTGTGAAGGAGGGAGGGAGGGACACCAAGGAACCCAGGTGCCCGTGAGAAGCTGCAGAAGCTGTGGTGAGGGTCCTCCCCGCAGCCTGCGGAGCCAGCCCCCCAGCCCTGCGCACCTGATTTCAGCCCAAGCGAAATAAGTGAATACACTTGTGCTGCTTGAAGCTCCTAAGTGAGCTGTCTTTTGTTATGGACATCAACAGGGAACCGGGATAGCTGGGCAGGAAATGGCCTCCTTCCTGCCCACCGAGTGTGCTTCTGAAAGCCCATGGCTCATCTGTTCCGAGCGGCAATGGAGGCCGACTAGGGTAAGTCTGACTCTGTGGTACTGTGACCACACTCGTGGCAGCTTGAACTAACTCAGCGGATAATCTCTTGATTTCTGGGGTCAGGAGTTGGGCTGGGTTGGTGGGGAGGCTGCTTCAAGGTGATAATGGGCTGGCGCCTCCCCCTGGGATTGCCTGGGGAGGGGTCCGCTGCCCAGCATGCAGGTTGGGCTGCTTCCTGCAGGCTGCTGGATGGAAAGCCTTGTTTTTGTTTTTGGTTGGAGGCTGGTGGCTGGAGCCCTAGCTCATGATGTGAGCCACCCTCCATAGGACAGCTCACTGCACGGGGGGTGTGCCTCTTCACGTCCGGAGACAGAGGCACAGTTGTAGGTACAGTGATCCTAAATATCACAAGCCCTGCATACATCCCAGGGGAGGGCATCGTGCCAGAGGATGGGCATCATCTCATGGGGATTGCCCTAGATGAGACGGTTAAGAGGCGGAAGCAGGAAGTTTGGGACTGTAGCGCAGCAAGGTGACATGGGAACCCAGAGTATTGGTTCTGGAGAAAGTGCTTTGGTCAGATCCCAACTATGACACAGCCATAGTTGGGAAAATCGCTCAGCCCCTGGAGCCATGTTTTCCTCGTCTGTAAAATGGGAATGATGGAGCTCCCCTCTCGACTGTTCTGAGGACTCTAGTTGACCCTGAACGTGGAGGACTCTGTTTGTGGTCAGTGTTGTTCACGCTCACTGCCACCGGTCTGGCTGTGTGTTTGTGACGCAGGACGTCGGTAACTGTGGATTCCAGGAAGCTGTCTGCTGTGCAGTAGAGGAGGCTCTTGTGTCCCGGTACCCACCCTCCTATTTCCCGCTGGCAAGTGAACACCCCATTTTTGCTGGGAACATGATCAACTTGATAAAACTACTTTTCCTTACCCCTGTGCAGCAAGAACCACCATGAGACCCAGTTCTGGTCAAGGGGGTGTGAGTAGAAGTGCTGATGTTGAGTCCCCTTCCCTCTTCCTCTTGCTGCCACCAGGACGGTGACAGGAGGAAGCCTGGGCACAGGTACCTTGATGGCGGAAGGTGAAGCGGAGGCAGCCTGCTCCATGATTCCTCCCGCCCTGCACCATCCACATAGATTCTGAGACAAATGAAAAAATCCCCCTCTTCCTTTTGAAGCCAGGGAACTTGAGGGCTGTTGCTCAACAGCCTCATCTGGATCTAGTTTAACTCGGGCCTGTTCCTGGCCTTGGCTGTGAGGAACATCATTTGCTCAGGATAGAGAGATAAATGGAAGAGCCATGTGTGTGCCCTGCCTGAGCCCGGATCCCAGAGAGCAGACCTGGGAGACAAGAGCTTTGGTGTGAGGCCATTATTGGGGAGGGTGGCCCTGGGAGTGGCCGTGGGGCACAGCAATCAGAGCAGCAGGGAAGGACTCACTGGCCTCACCATTGGGGATTGGCCATCTGATCACCTCTAGCTGCCCCAGGAGTTACCTCAGAGAGATCATCTGGGGGACAGAGCGGAGCCATTTGCTGGCCAAAGGTTGATCCATGTGGTGTCAACTCCTCACGGTCCATGTGTGGGCCCAAGGTGGTTTCCTGTGGCATCTAAGCCCAGCATTGAGAGACAAATGCCAGGGTGGGATGTGGTCAGCTTGCCACTGCTGGAAGCTGGGCACCATACCAGGCTTGGGAGCAGACCAGTGAGCCATGAGGGCCAGAGCAGGGCACAGGAGGTGTGCTCAGTGTTCATCCAAGGTGACAGGTCAAACAACAAACCCATTCCTCCCGCCAGCTACACTTTCCCCAGAACCCAAGCTTGACAGGCCTGCACTGCCTCCAAACCCTCTGTCTCTCCCAGCTGTGGGTGGCTCCGGTGTTCCTGGGGACTGCGTCTCTCTAGGCTGCCTCCGACCTCATATGGCCTCCTCTGTCAGTGTCTCTCTGTTTCTCCCTTCCTCTCTCTTGTGGGGACTTGTTGGATTTCGGGTGCATCCCGACCTAGGAGGATTCCTTCTCAAGATCCTTACCCCAGTTACATCTGCAAAGACCCATATCTGAGGTTCTAGGTGAACATACCTCTGGAGACCACCACTCAACCTACTACAGCCACTAAAAAAATATCCTTTGGCTATTTCCTCTTTTAAAACAACAGCAGCAATAGCCACATGTTAATAGCACTATTTTCCCCAGTTGCCATTGAAACTGACGAATCAGAGAAGCCACTGCTACTGTCTGTGAATGCGTGTCCGGAGCCCTGGCCACTGCTTTTCCCCAGAAGATGAGCAGCTGAACCACTGCATGCAGTGCTGACTTGGAGCTTCTGCCCGCTTGGCTCTCAGGGCCATCTCTGAGTGGGCTATGGGGCAGTGGCAGTCCATTTTTGTCTCTCACCAAAGTATTGGACTGAGCTCCCTCTGTCTTAGGGAGCACCCATGCATGGGATGAGCTGCAGAAGAACTGCTGATGAACAGCGGTAGGTGACATGGGGTCTGTGCCCTGGGGATGTGTTGAATCTCAGTTTCTGCTGCACCCCTTGCATCTTAGGGGAGTACTGAGGGCCATGCCGGACCTCAAGGCTTGGAGAGTCTGACAGCATCTAGCACGTTAAGGGCAGTTCTGCTGCATCATCACCCAGGGTCCTGAGGTCAGACCCCCTCCATCAGGGTCTATTGGCATGCTCCCTTCTACTTCCCAAAAGGTCAGATGGCAAATGCGCAGATGGCATGGACTTACTCCAGAACCTAGGGGTCTGCACTCTCGTATTGGGGTTTGTAGATACCCCACACAGTGGGGTGTGAATGAAGTCATCCATAGGGGGACAAATATGAAACTCTGAGATACTCCTAGATGGCCCAGTTTCCTTCAGCCTATGTTGGGACAGAAGGTGGAAGAATAAACGTGGACCTGGGGAGAGCTGTGACTGTACTGATGCCCCGCCCGCGTGAATGCCCTCTTCTTCTATCACAGTCTCTCTAGATCTGTAGGTCCCCTGACTCATGTGGTCACTGGCTCAGGGCTGCTTCTCCCACAGCCTGGACCTGCTGCTGAGCTGCTCCCTGATCACAGTCCCATTCAAAACTAGCAGACTTTTTTTGTATTGCCTGATAAGTAGATCAAGCTGTATTTCAAGTATGGAATATGCTGATTTCATAGCCCAAAGCAGACTAGCAAAAATTGTGCAGGAGGTCATAGGAGATGCACAGTTCAGTAGCGTATGCCTCTTTGAGGGGATGTCCTGGCATATCCTATGTCACTAAACCTTTCAAAACTCTGAGTATATGGTGGTAGTTCCTGCTCTTTGGAGCTCAAGCATCTTAGCAAGAAATCAGATTCAATGAACTTAAGGCCATCATGTGGGGGACCAGTATGATATTCTGAGATATGTTTAGATGGTCCAGGTTCCTTCATGTTGGAACAGGAGGTGGAAGAATGAACTTGGACCTGGGGAGAAGCTGTGAGTGTGTACTATTGCCCCCCCACCACATGAATGCATTTTGTTTCTGAGCTCTTTTTCTAATAGTTAAAAGTAATGCATTATAATAACACACCAATAGACAGCGACCCCACATCAGAAGCTGTGCTAAAAAGGTGTCTTTGCAGCTGCAGTAGGGCTACTAGTTGGCTACATTTGTGATAATCTACTGTTGTCTGCCATGATCTATCCAGTTTTTTAAGAAAAGGCTGCTGAATTCAACAGGGTTATGGCAGGGATTATCATCTGTTTATTCTATAAGCCTTCGAGGGTGGTACGAATCTCCCTGTATGTGA